CAGTTTCTTCACTGGTAAAATAAGAGAGTTATCCAAAATTCTGTCTAAGACCCATTCCTCAGTGGGTGTGGCCATTACTGGTGTTCGCCAGGATCCAGTTCTCCTCCCTTCTGGAGCATGACTGGTTCTGGCCAGTCAGATGTAAAGAGAAGTGTTATGTTGCATCCATGCTGTGGAAAACCTTTGTACAGTTCTTCAGTCTGTCTTCCCTGCCAAGACAACAGAGAAGCTCACAAGACAGTAGAGCTGCAATGTGCCAAGACCTACTTTGAGCACATGGCCTAAGCACGAGAGATCTTTGAGTTGTGTTAAGCCACTGGAAAAAATTTTTAATTTTTTATTCAATTTTTTATTCAGTTTTATTCAATTTTAATTGAAGTGTAGTCAATTTATAGTGTGTCAATTTCTGGTGTACAGCATAATGTTTCAGTCATACATGTATATACATAAATTTGTTTTCATATTCTTTTTCATTATAGGTTACTACAAGACAGTGACTATACTTCCCTGTGCTGTACAGAAGAAACTTGTTGTTTATCTATTTTGTATATACTAGTTAATATTTGCAAACCTCAAACTTCCAGTCTATCCCTTCCCACCCTCTTCCCACCCCCAGTAACCATAAGATTGTTTATTATGTCTGTGAGTCTGTTTCTGTTTTGTAGGTAAGTTCATTAAAGTAAGCCATTGGAATTTTGAGGTGAATTTGTTACTGCTGCATGACCTAACTTATCCTGACTAATACAGCACATCTAACTTTCTGTGGTGCTGTGAGTCACTCTTTCCGTATTATAAAGATATTTTTACTATACTGTATGTGAATAAAAGTACTATAAAGAAGTCTGAAGCCCACAACATTATTTCAAATTATCTAATAAGTTGGCATCTATCAAATCAGTCTCTAAGCACAAAGTCTTATTGTTACTCTGGATTTCAACTTGCATCACTGGAAGACTGATTTCTGATATACTGCCTGACCCCCAGTTATTCTGGTTCTGCTTTTTAGTAGAGAGGAAGGCTGGTTTAATATCTTCATCTAGAATACCTCTCCCCATGTTGTATAGAGCAAAATTTTGAAATTGCATAGAAAAATAAAGGCTTTCCATTGCTTCTGATTTTTTTTTAATTTAAT